GGCATTGAAGCAAGCACATAACTCATTCCCACAATCATCATATTCTGAAACAGCTACTAATAACACATCAAAACATATGCGACGAAAAGTTATCACATCTCTGCATTTAGTAAGAATAGCAAAACATCTGACAAAAAAGTCTTTAACTCGTGCATGCTTGCTTTAAAAACATTTCCATCGGGAAACTAATTTTATTAAATGTGCAATATCGATGCGAATAATGCACTTTGGTGTATTTTCAGTTTTATGACAGTCCAAATACTCAAAACAGTTATCCACATAAGATTTGAAGTCTGTGTTATTGAAAGCAAGGGTAACAGCATTCAGTAAGGCAAGAGAATAATCAGTGACTACTTCTTTGGGACAGGGCACACCAGAACGCAGCCACTCCCGCATCCAGTAGCACAGGATATTAGCATCATGTTTTTTTAGAGATCATTTGGAAAATTGGTAGGATTTTTTTATTAAATGACACAACTGCTTGATATAAAAACACTACATTTTTGGAACTGTCAGGTTTTGATATCGGTTTTTTAAAAGAACCAGTTGCATCGATACTAACACTTCCAATAGCATCATATTTCAAAAATTTTTTATACAAGAAATTTTGCTCAGGACTGCAATACATGATATAAAACTTGTCTATGCCTATTTCTTTTATGTATCCTGCGAATTCTAGTTTGTATTTCAATTGTAAGACTGACATTATGGGATCTTGAACATTCTTAACGCCTAATTCTTCATCCAAATGCAATTGTTTGGCTTTACGTAAAGTAACCTCTTTGTATAAGTTAGCAGGTTCTACATCACCGAATTTCATAATCTCATTCGCTTTTTGTCTTCGCCACGAATAGGTAGATGTTCCTCGTAACTCCTTAACAATACTTCGCCTTTTAGAACCACGCATTCGCTGCTTTTTTTTATGAATGACTCCTGTTGTGTCATATGTCGAAACAGAAATTTCTAAGCCCTCGCTGCTGGGTTCATTTAAACTATATGCATGAAACTATGAACCGTATTCTGCACATTTTCCTATAATTGTTAAGAAAATAACGCCAGGTGAACGATTAATTTTAGCTGATTTAAAACTAAAACAAGAAGGTAGACGAAGTTCTTTCCACAAATGATCGTAAATCACATCTGTCCAACCTGATCTTAAGACATCATACGAACGATTCTTATAGCAGACGACATGCGGTTCAATTATATTCCGTACATCTTTCGATATATTTATGGTAGTACGCAGAGGTTCGAAAATACAGTGAAGAGGAGAGCTCATGGACCAATTAGATTCATAAGTCTCGTTCATTTCACTATTCGTATTGTTGCGATCTGTAAAATTATATCCTGGGTGTAATCGCTCCAGAATTCCATTCCTATTTTGTGATACATACATACATATATATACTTTTTACTCATTTTTTCTTTAAGTTTTTTATATGCTACTTGCCATACATCGTAAGACAACGAATGAACTTGACCATTCTCATTTAAAAAAGAAAGATCCTTTAGAGCAATGAAAATCTCTTCGATTCCTGTTTTCGCTTTACGAGGCATGTTTTAAATTCGATTTCAACTCCGTCGATTGTCAACTTCGATCTATGCCAGAGGGTGGCAACTCTCCTCTTGTGAAAAATGAACACTGGTACTGAAGTGCCATCTGTGTGAAATCGTCAAAGAGAAACTAAAAATCAATATGGCTGTCCATAGCGGATTATTCAAAAAGCACTAGGCTACCGGCATTGCATTATTGAAGCTTAAAGATCTTTATTCTTAATGTATAGGAAATTAGGAAATGACGTTTTAACACATCAGTAAAATCTAGGTTTTACGGGCTTTATTATGTATAGCATTACACTTGCGAAATGCCTGTTTAACAATGATGCTACGATCTGTGCTTCGTCGTGCTTTACCGCATAAAATTTGATTTATTTTTTTGCACCACATATTAATTTGATGCTCCGAAGTGAAGTTAATTAAAGATTCTTTTAATTTAGAACTATGTGCGTACAACTAATCCACGTTAGTTCAAGGGAAACATATAATATTGTTTCAATCCTTATTCGTAGGTTTTTGCAGTAGCATGCGGTGGGTAATTGCTCATTTACGACAGTGACAGCGTTATCGAAAAGTTGAATCCAATTGCGATGTAATTTTTGTAACTCCCCTGTTCCTGCATCAGAGAACAATACATCATTAAAAGATTTGCAATTGGCTATTTCTGGATTATTGCACAGTTTCTTCGTGAATGTAGTTGCTGCAACATTTCTGCAACATTTTTCGGAAACTTATGACTCGGCATATTAGCCCCGGAAGGGCATCCCAGAACACAACAAGCTTGAACCATTACAAAGTTTCTGCAAACAACGTAAATTTAAATGAAACAACCCTATTGATAAACGAACTGTCTTTGCAGGCATTTGCATCACTTACCTGTAAACTAGATATCAAAAATATAAATTTTAAGCGCACTATATTTCAATAAACTTAATACTTCCTCACAAAACCGAAATTCAATTCCTCACGAATGCTGCGGAAATGTCTGGAATGCTCAGGAAACAAAGAAATACTATACTATATAGCGACGCCAAGCGACGCGTGGCAGCACCAGGCAGTACGCTGTGACGTCCTTGCTCACGATTGGTCTATTGCGTTTGCTTCAACAGCACCACCTGCTCGGGCTCGTATCGAGCTAACTATACGAATAACACGAAAAATCGTGGGAGTTGCCACCCTCTGATCTATGCTTGGCCGAACGACTGCAGGACTTTTATACTCTACTCTTCTACAGCACAATGATAGTTATTGGCCAACTGTAGAACAGAGGGGATTTGTAAGACTAACCAATACCAGCGCATCATCTTCTGCTTACTACTGATTGGCTCGTGCGCGTGTGGAGGGGATAGAGAAATCCCTATTTTTATTAAACCAGAGTAATAAAACCTTTTAAGTATTTCAAATGTTATTTAATTTAAACTATAACAGAAAATTGTTTGTTACAAAACCATGCATATGCATACTTTGTAACAAAAACTTTATGCGGAGCCACGTGTCACTTACTAAGGTTACATTGTTTGCTAACTGTCAAAAAACACATTGGACCTCGTAGAGAGGCAATATATGCAATTCATTTATCGAGTCTCGATTAATCACATTTAACTCGGGAGAACAGGATTAAATTCTTAAGGAAATTTCGAATAAACAAATTATGTAGGGAGGACTTGCTAAGATTTTATTTTATTTATAGAAATAAGCTGAATATTTTTTAATTCCATTGCGCATTCACAAGTTCCAAGGCGTTTTGAATACAGTTTCAGACTATATAAACGTCTTAATTTATCATCCACAATGTCTATAAATTAGCTAAATTTTTTTGAATGGTATTATTACTTACATTTTCAAATCAACCAAATCAAGAAGATTACTCATTTTACTTTACCTTCATTTGCATTCGTATTCTACTGAATTAACTTTATTAATCAATATTATTTTATTCGTATGTTATAATTAGGATAGTTACAATAATAAGAGTAATACATTACTGTTTAATGTTAACAGTACTGTAATCAACAATTCCAATAGGTGAAAACAATTTTAAAGCAGCACCCCTTACCCATTGGGGTACAAACGAAACTAACGGTGGTACAAACGGGTACAAACGATTCTAAATTCATCCCTGCAAACAGAATTTAAATTACTCCAAGTTGGGTGCTAGCGGTTTTTTGACCCCCCTGTAATTTCCAATTCTTTGAGATACAAACGAAAATTAAAGTAGTACAAACAGGTACAAACGGGGTACCATCGAATCGCGTTTTGAAAATTATAATATTTTTAAGTCGGGTGCCAGGTTCACATAGGTCAAAAATCGGCAAACAAACAATCAGCCAGTCAAAGCTTGACCTAAAAACGGCAAACCTACGATCGGTTAGTTGAGACTCGACCGAAACTGGGCCTAAAATCGGCGTACCAATAGTTGGCGCGTTAATACTCGGCCAAACATTTGCCAGAAATCGGTAACCCAACAATTGGCGACTTAATGTTCGGCCGAACATTGGCCAAACCTTGGGGTCTCGACGATCGCCACGCTAGCCCGACCATCGTCCGCGTTCGTTTCATCGGTAAATCCTACATGGGTATTTATCCGGCGTAGCACAGTCGAGTGACTCCGGAAGGTCCTCGAATATTTGCTTTTTTCCGGGGTCCGTCGGGAATACAAAGAAACTAGCGGAACAAAGCGGAATATAAAAAAAAACAAAAAGAGAAAAGGAGTAGCGAAGGAAAAAGGAACGCAATCAAACTATAAGTACTCACTCGAATTGCAACACACAGTATCCAATTTCGCACTTCTACTTCAGGCCTGTCAAAATCCTTCCGGGCACATCCACGGGGCTGGAGGCAGAAGGCTCCGTCCCTGTCACACAGCCTCTGTACTACCCGTGTGACGAGACTGCACCGGGGCTGCATACACGTGGTGACAGTGGCGGGATGGACGGGCATCGTTGTCACGTGGCTCAATCAGCTGTTTTCTGTCCATACCTTCCCTGCCTTCCGTTGCGTTGGCAACGTAGCTACTATCGCGATCCGTCCAGGAATGGCTGTTGTCCTCGTAGAAGGTTCGCGGTGGTGGTCTTCGATGACGGTCCTCGAGCCAGTGCACTACGGGGGGTCGAGATAGGAAGGGAAGGGTGCAGGGGAGGAATCTTAAAACTAAATATAATAGACCTAAATATACGCAATGAGCAATAATAAATACAAGGCAATGCTCAAGGCCGGTAGGGACCTCGAGCCAGGGGATGGGGAGGAGTCGATAGTAACATTTTTTGTTACAGTGAAAGCGCAACACATGTATACTCTTCCTTATCAATGATATTATCTAGGACTATTTAAATTGAAGGACCTGTACGTTCTTATACCGTTAACGCTCTGCTGACATATTTTTTTTGACTTGATGAAATATAATAAAGGACATATCAAAAAGTTTGGATATTTGTCATTTTCAGACTGGGTGGAAGAGGCTGTTGCTAAAGCAGAAATTTTGCGATTAATATACCAGGGTCGTTTTCTACACAGCAATGTTACGCTTGGCGCTCTTGGGCTTCCCTTTGGAAAAACAACAGTGATGCATCTGGTTCCACGGGAAAATCTTCCAGAGCCTAACTCTCAAGGTGAGTTTATCGCAATAACTGACTTTTTCTTTCTAAAGTGTATTTTAATAAGTATTCTTCTTTTCATTGATTCAGATTAACTCTCAGAGGGCCGGAAGATTTTATAACGTCTCGCAGGTGATCTCTGACATGTAGGAGGTATATCTCCTGAAATGAAAATCTTTTTCTTATATCGATTGTTTGAGTTTTCGAAAGAATTCCTGCCGGCCCTCTGAAGATTAATCCAATAACATTGTCTCTGTCAAGATGAACCTAATTTGAACGAAGATATTGTACATGCACAAATATTTTAACGCACTCTAATATACGTTCTTTCAGGCCTGCTACCTAATGGTGAATACATGTATATCGAAATTGAAAATTCTGATTAATCGATACAGAGTTTGACACAGATTGAGAGATAATGAAGAATCGTTTGTTTGCTGGCCTGGGACTAGTCACCCAAGCGCAAAAGTAAATTATCATACCGTAAAATCATTACGTATGTAACACAGAAAAGTAATTTACAATAAAGTAATTACATAGAAATAAAAAAAGTCTAGATAAAATAGTTTACATCAAGATAAAGCAACACAGGGAAAACATTCGAAATTCAGAGAATCCGTAACATTCTAGGTGTTGTGACATAATTGTTCCGACGTGATATCCAAAAAAATCGCAGTATTCGGAGATACCCGAAAATCTGTTATTTCGGTTCTGAAAAATCAAAATCTAACCCAAAATAATTTCGATCGGTTTTAGGCATCCCAAGGTGCTGTTTTCTAGTTCTTGGCGATCTTGGCACTCGGCCCATCTAAAATTTCTGAGTATTGAATATGTTGATGAATATAACAATGAATAACAGAGGAGCCAGCTAATACTCGAAATTCAAGACAACTGGTAGAACAAATCTTTAGATTGAAGGGAGATAAGGAATAGGGCATTGACGAGATATTGCAACGCGAGGTCAATTTTCGATCTATGCGCGCTTGCTTACAAACCTTCATAATTTCTTGGTTTAATTCTTTCGAAAAAAAAATTCATTTACGTATCTTTTCCACAAAGATCATTGACAAATATCTTTTAACAATCGATTTTTCCTTCCCAAAACAAGCGAATATTCCCTTAATAAGCCGACCATTCTTCCTGTTGCAAACTCTGGCAACAGGGTAATTACGTAGCTCAACATTAATCACTGCTATTCGCTGGTATTACTCAACAAGAGTGGACTGTCGTCTCTCAATCTTATCCAAAATCGCACTGGTATTCGGATGCTTTATTATCTCTCCGTTTATCCGTCCTTTAAATGAATGAAACATTGGAGGACTTGGCAGCAATCTCAACGTATGTCGCTGGGTCAACTCACCATTGGGGTAGACTAGTACGACCGTAAATCAACAATTGTGGCTATACCGGTACTTGCCTCCCATTCAAGTGGTCCTTGGCTACAAGACGTGCCTTCCGGTAAACGGAAACCTGGTGGATGGATCCGTCAGTATCTTTGGACATTTAGTTCTTCGTTGGGGCTCCTGCAGTGTTACGGTCCTGACATCGGTCTTTCACAGCCAGATTTGGCCGGCGGTGGTTTAGTCCTGCGTAGCGATGTGGACGATCGGTGATACCGTTGCTATTTAATTTATTCGCCTTTTTTCTGCAGCTCCTTCGCGGTCTGAGTCTTTTTCCTCGTAAATTCTTAGATCGATGTAGAACAATGTTGATAATCTGCGATTTTCCTTCTTTGGAACTACTAGGGGTAGGCTATACCCTCGGGACTTTCTCGAAATAGGTCGTCTATTGGTCGTTTATGGGTACATAACTAGGTAAAAGAAACAATTAAGAAGTAGCCATGCTTTGGCCTATTTCTAAATAGTTTTTTTATTTAGTTTTTGACGTGAAAACTGGCAAGGTCTTTGCAAAATATGTAATGCAATATCGCACAAGGAAAGAAGAACGGGAACGAGTACTAGTCAGGATGGCAATGAGTCCAAGTTACCACAGTAAACCAGATACACATAGGGTCAAATTATAACGATTGCCTGGACTAAAGTAGTCGTTTGTTACGTGACTTTGTAGCTCACGCTGACAAAAGGATTCCAGCTACGTTTTCGGATGACATTCCGCTTAGAAATTATGAATACTATCTCGGGTAGATTCCCACGTTTATTTTTAAGTTCTCGCTGAAATATTTTCTTTGATTCGTCAAGGTCGGGCTGTATTAATCTGTCGCTAGGAGAAAGGAAAGCAGAGGAGAACACCCGACGAGACTCTTTCACGGATCGGCAGAAGCCCGGCTGCGATTTTGGCACCCTACAGAAGAAGGACATTAGGCTGGAGAGCGGGCGAAGCTTTTGGGTTAAGGTTACAGACAAGGAAGGAATCCCATTGGTTCTAAGGGATTTGGAAAATTGATGCGTTACCGATTGTTAAAGGGACGGCTTTTCTGACTTGTGACGGAAATAGTGTTCGGAGCCGGCGGAAATTGCTACCTCCCCCCACGTTTGGATCTGGCTTGTCCTCACGGCCTTACACACAGATCTTGAAATCGCTATGAATTTCAGTGCTGGATGGCCACATCCAATTTCATGCAGTTTCGCAGTTTATGACGTGGCCACCAAGTGTCGCTGTGATCGACTGCGCCTTGTGAACTTAACCTCTAAATTTAACGTTTCACGACGTTTAATATTCTATTCGTAGTGCCGAAGATTCGTGCGTGGTCGTTAGTTTCAAATTTTTCGGTCGAAGAAAAATCATACTTTTCAAGAAAAGTGTATGCAACGAAATGGGAATGGAGATCGTGTACTGTCCTGGGTTGTAATTTCAGTTACATGTCAATTTCGGAGTTATAATTTTCTCCTCTCCTTCCATGTACAGCTTCAAATTTTTTTTCATGTGTGATACCGTTAAAAATCTTGAGAAGCAAGTTTTAAATTTAATTACAGTTGGGTTACGCAATATACTTGTACTGTGAGAGAGGATGAAGCAGACATTTTTATTATCTATCTCTAGAGAGAGATGATCGCAGTGTTTTTATACCAATTTCTTCACCCTCTTGCTTAAAATCCAGAGCGCTCGTTACTGCACGTCTAATCTCCTCTTTGTTATTCAGCACCCATTTGAGGGGTACGCGAATGTGCTCAAAAAGTCTGTCGTAATGTTTTTCTTCCATCTTAGGCAGGTCGAATGGATTTCAGCATTTTCATGCATGCTTTGAAAAGATTCTCTCTACTTCAAATCTTTCGATACGACAGTGCAAGAGACTTTTTAAAATAATTTATTAAGATAATGAATAGGAGAAACCGTACGGATAGCCGAGAACCGCTATTACGTTCAAGGATCGAGTGACACGCGGTAACTTGGAGGATACGTTTTATAAGTATGGCCTTCTATAACTTTCTGATATACTGAGGAGACGTAGAAACGGACTTTTCCTAAAATGGTTAGATTTTCATGACCTAAATAACAGTTGATTAATAAATCCGACTTGTTTGTATGTACAACATAAAGGGACATTAAATATAGCTTAACTAAGCGGGAGCAGATAGAAAGTTCTTGTGACGGGAAACTGGCGGATGTAATGTCAACGTGCATATAGAATGATTAACTATAAGATAAATACTATAATTTCGAAACATACCGATATTAAAAAGAACCGTCAGGAAATTACCGATGTTATAAAACACATCGTATCCCAAAGAAGTTTAGAGTATTTTTATTTAGGAAGGAGATTCGCGCTTAATTTCCAAACTACGAGTAGGTCGGATTAAGATGTCTGTTGCCCTTGTAAATTAAAATGCCGCTAGAGTGAGCAAATGTTGTAGCTTGTTGAGTAGCGTACATGACCACTTTCATTAACGCAGTATATTGAAAGTATGGTATGTCAAGATCTCGATGAAAAGAGGGTTTTAGGCTAGTCCGCATGGAACGTGTGGACTTATCTTATGTATTCGTTCGCTATCACCGAATAACGGGGTAAACTTATTTGTCGTGAGACACAGGCGCACGAATCAAGCGGTCACGTCTTTTGCGTTGACCGTTGAAAAAAAATTAATTTCGCGAACGCGGAATATTGAAACTAAAAAGTGCTGGTAGTAAAATTAGCAGATGCTACTGTTACATCTAAATGCTCATGATTTTTCCTGTAAAATTCGACTGAACATGTAGTACAAGTTGCTTCGGATAAAGAATCTTGATTAATTCACAATTTTGTATCAGAAAAAATTATTACATTCTTAAAACTAAAGAAATTTATAATAACATTTTATTAACTACTCCAAACAAATCTGTTAAATTCTATTGGGTTCCGTCCCATGTTGGAATCGAAGGTAACGAGGCTGCCGACGTTCTTGCAAAAAGTTTTACCAACAAAATTAATGTCGATGAATGCAACATCCCGTATACTGATTTCTTTGAAGTATTTAAAAAAGAATGTTTTCTAAATACTCTTTCTAAAGCTGTGGAAGAAAGTAACACTAAAGGAAACATTTATTTTTATTATTACTTTTCCACTTCAACTAAACCTTGGTTTGCCAATAAAAGTTATTCACGAAATTATATCCCTTCCATAAATAGGTGTCGATCCAGCCAATACAGTTTAGCAGCCTCGTTAGCTAGAATTCAGATATTAGATAGCCCTATATGTGAATGTAAAGAAGGTATTGAAGATCTAAACCATATTATTTGGCAATGCTCATTATTCGATAATGAAAGAAATATGCTTCTCAAAAAATTGTTCAAATTAAAATTTCAACTGCCTTTAAGAATCGAAAACATCATCGATAAACCTAACTCCTTCGCTTGTAAATTCGTTGCGGAATTTTTGTTAGCTTGTAAAAAATCTGTATAATCTGTATATTTATTTTTGTTTATATAATCTCTACTATTTTGTATTAACTTTTATTTTAATAAAGTAAGCAATATAAGTCTCTAATGAGACTTAAACGCTATAATAAAAAAAAAAATAAATAAAGAATCTTGGTTGAGCGCTTCCCTGTACCGCCTGTTGCCTGTAGTTGACGGGAGATCCAATAGTCTCTTGATTTTTTTAAACGTACTAAACCAATACATATAATTTAGCATGAATATTCAAGTTTTTCGGAAAAACAAAACGGAGTAAGAAGCAATATTTCCTTGTGAATGATTCGTTTTTTTTTGTTTTTGAGATACACAATTATGGCACAACTCATCACAATTTTCGGTTTGTTAAACATTTTTTGATATAACAATCAGGCACTTTTTCCAACCGTTAGTTTATTTTAAAAAATCCTGTAGTCATGGAAAGCGAAACCTGACGTTTAGGAGGTTATCTTAATGCATCTATTTATTTGCCTGTCTTAAATCATCATCATGCAATAAAAGAACTTTCTCCGAAGCGTCTGTTCCATCTGAAAAATCCGTGCAGTCATTGAAAATACACTTCTCAACGATTGAAACGACAATAGCCGATATTTTCACTTTCCCTTTCTGATAAGAGAACTTATAAGTATATTATATATCATGTAACGTATATAAGGCATATGTTATACATTGTGTACACGTTGTTATACATGTTTTACACGGTCATTGAAGAGCCAAAAGTTTTATTTTCAGTGCATAAACACACATCGTACACGGTGGTTTAATGTTTTTTATCCTAAAAAATTTGTGCTCACCCTCTTTATAATATACAACGTGAAGTTGGCTACAGGGATATTTATATTGCAACTAAATAATTATAATCTTCGAAAATTGACTAGCATTTAAAATTTTATACTAAGTTGCTCGATTATTTTGGTTGCAGATCAGAGACAAAAAAGTAAAGGAGGGGGAAGCAGTTGCTGTTCAGCCTCTTGCTGTATACTGTAAGCGTTAGCAGCACCGGACTTTCAAAAAGGTTCAACGTAAACCAGCATACACGTTCAAGCTGAACCATGGCTTCTAATGTCTTATGCTGATGTAAAATTGTTAGTGGATGAGTTTACGAGCAGTGTAGCATAGGACAATTATAGCCATCTATTGATTCTAGTTGCAATTAAGAGTCTTTTATTATGAATAAATGTTGGATATACGAGAAATAAATAGGGGATGGTGCTAACTACGGCCGCTTGAAGCCTCGAAGCGTGGCACTTTAACTCATGGGTGTATCCGAACTACGACTACCAGTATTTTACACGATAGACACCAATATGCGGTTATTTGAGGAGACGCAAAGTGTTAGAGAGCAGTCAGAGCCAGAAGGGTGTCAATGTTGGTATCTAAGCAAATATTAAATTCGATTCTGTCGATTAGTACTACCGATTATTATACGGCAAGAAGAACAATACGCATTTTTGGATCGTCGGCTATAACGGAATAATACTTAGACAATGGCGTGTTGCTTAAAATATCCATAGCGTATTACGTACATTAGATGAGATAATGTAAAAGACATTGACAAAACGAAGCTTCTGGTTTTTGCAATGGTAGGCTTGGGTAGATACTTTCGTTGAAACTTCTTGTCACGATGTGGATCAACGAGAATTACGAAAATGAAATGAGACGGAATTCACTTCCTTTCAGTCATTTTTTCCTGGATCTAATTCGTTTGATTTACGCTACAGTGTTTGGAGTCTCAACCACTATGCAATCACGGCAATGTTATATTATATAATTATGTAGATGGAATATAAGTGTACGCATGAATGTATGTATTTGAACGAATGAGGACAGAATAAATTTATGTTGTGATATGCAGGTAGTGAATATATTATACATACTATTACGAAAATTATATTATATATAAATATAAATATGAATATAGAGATAAATATAAATAAAAAACATATATAATTATATATATATATATATATATATATATATATATATATATATATATATATATATATTATATATATATAATGGTATGAGATACGTTGATGCGCGGTTAAATTCTCATATGACAGACTTTATTATTATGAATTTAAAGTACTATTATGACGCTACTTTGAGAGTTTAGTATCCACAATAAGGCGAACAGGAAAAAGAAAGGTTAGATCTCTAATAATAGTTATGACAAGATAATAAAAAGTCAGGCATATTTCCCGCTATTTCCTATCCTCGACTCGGCACTCTTTTTTCGACGTCATGTCTTATTGAACCTTGTATAACTTTGTCGTTCTCGCCCGATTTCTTATCAACTTTGTTCACCTTTATGACTCAGTGACAATGGCCCAGTGGAATAGGCATAGTTTAGGTAAAGGTAGATACAACCGAATTAAAATAATATGTTTTAGCTTACTCTAAACACATTCTATTACGCTAACTGTACTGTAACATGACTCTTATCACTCCGTAATAATATGTATATATCATGTCTTTCTGTGTAGTGAATTTGATCAACACTACAAATTACAAATCTATCTAATTCCTTTTTAATAATCTCATTTAATCATATTATTTTAAAATCATTAGTGCTTCTTTTGTATTTTAACTTTTGGAGGGCCGGCGGAAATTATTTTCGAAATTTTAATAAATCAATATAGGAAACAGTGTTTCGTGTCAGGCGATAGACAGATACCCTATATGTATATCAGATACCACCTTCGAGACGTTATTAACGTCTTTTGGCCCTCCAAAGGTTAAATGTATGCAACATGCAGATTTAGCATCGAAGAGTTTGCATATGCATGGTTATGCAGCTCAAACGCATCAATCGAAGTTAACCATACATCTGATTGCTATGGAAAACCAGCTGCAGTGGTGCTTCTATGTACAGTGTCGCTGGTAAGATTCACATTAGGGACTTGTGAAAAAATGGTTCGAAATATTAAAAATCTGGTGTGGTAAACATTGAATATTTTTTTTTCATTGCTCATCGAATGGACCAACTATCTTTTTATCTTATTTTCAGGTCGAAAAATAAAAGGAAAGTTTTATCACATTTTAAATGTAAAATGAGAAAAAATAATCTAAATAATACTTGGAGGTAGTATTCATATTACCGTAGATACAATGAAGTTGTATAGTCCTATACTTGGCACTGAAATGAGACTGTATCGAGTGTCTTCGCCATTATTAGCATTAGAGTGAGGAGGAGAGGCGGATAGAGGGAGACGTAGAAAATCGTCATGTTTCACAGCAGGTGTACTATCTTCACGTTTAACTAAGCAGATAATGGCAAATGTTACCCAAAAGTGTGTGCCTATAGAGACTTCATTGTGTTTATATGCGAAGTTTAGGCATTTTTGATAGACTTCTGATGCTGATCAAACTTCATACCTTCCAGCAGCACCTTCACGTGGAGTATGGGATCACCGATTGTTTCAAAGTATAAATCCAGTCATATACAGAATAAAACACATTGCCTCATACATTTGGTAGTGTTTTCTTTTATCGTAGGCAGCACGGAAAGAACTAGATTATGATAGAAAGAGTATATACGTCTTGAAGAAAATTTTTTAATAAATTCGGATTTCCATACAACTTGGTGCTAGGTGAGTTTTTAGAGCGGTGAATACGAATTTGAGGTCGAAAATCCAAAATTCAAAATGGTCAATAAATTAACTGATTTTGCATGCAACTCGGTACTAGAGCGTTTCTCGGATCGTTGAACACTAATTTTGTATAAAAACTAAAATGAGCTGTAATATGGCAGAAGATTTTTATTTATTTATTTATTCCAGCGTATGGTCTTTTCAACCATTTACAGTCCCTCTTACATTATTACAGTAATCGCAATAAAGATATTTCTTACAATTAAGTTAACAGTTCAATATTAGTATATTACGATACAAGTGCGCAAAGTAGGTGATTCCCGCAAGAGTCGGGTTTGTCGCCCGAGCGTAGCGAGGGTGACAAAAGAGACGAGTGCGGGAGACGCCTATGCGCACGTGTATCGTATACTATTTTTCCTAACAAGCTGCGTAAAATTCGATTTTGCACACGCGTTTGACAGTGCGGGAATGAGGCACTTTGCGCACGCAAACCCGTGCGCAAAATCGAATTTTGCGCACGCTGTTAGGAAAATGTTTATTTCGCCTTTCATCTCAGTCTTTTCCTTATCCTACATTACTAGTTGTTTCCTTATATCTGGCTATTAATTTTTCATTATTTTCAGCTATTCATTGGATAGCTTAATTCCAACTTGCATAGGTGTACTCCTAGGGTTGACATCCGGCATGTTGAACCTCTTGATCAACTACTTGATATAACTCGATTGTTTAATTGCAATGCAGTCCGATGACTGATTAATTTCAAGTCCAAGACAGCAGCGGGCAGCTCCTAAAACCTTGACCTTGAAGTATGTTGAGAGTTGTCTCTTGATGTATGTGATCCATCGTTGGTTTTGAGAAGCAATCAGAAAATCATCAACGCAGACATATACTATCATCAGCTGATTACATCTCCAGGCATAATAAATGCATCTGTCGGATTTGGATCGTTGTAAGCCCAATCGACTGAAGACGTTGTTGACTTCAATATTCCATTGGAGTCCTGCTTGTTTCAGTCCACGTAGTGCACTTTTGAGTAGACATACTACATCTTGGTTCATCTTTTTCAGTATTTCTTGTAAACATTTAAAATGTTTCTATCACGAGCTTCTTTCCTGATTATTTCTTCGAGAGTTCCTTCCATCAATCGTGGTTTATTCATATAAATGGTCTCATTTAGGGTACCATTTAGGAATGCAGTAGTGATGTCGATCTGTTCAATTTTCATGTTGAATTTGGCTGACAGATTCACTAGCATTCTTATTAAAGTAAGCCTGGACACTGGAGCGAACGTTTCGGTGCAATTCACTTGGGTTTGTTGGGTGAACCCCTGAGCCACAAGTCTGGCCTTCGTCACGTGAAGACTTCCACCTAGATGATGTACAGCCGACGATGTTTCTATCAT